TGGGTGTCTTCATGGTTATACAAGCAAAGTGTACTGCTTATATTCCACCCCATATCACTTAAAGCACTCTCTGGGCAGTTTACAATTTAATTATTCAGGCAATAGATTCACCCTTCCACAGCAATCTGTACTTAATTTACCAACATCGGAAGGATAGAAGGCTGAGTGAACCTCAAGCCAGCTACCTGCGATTGAACCCCAGATTGTGAGCAGAGTTTTGGCTGCAGTACAGCAGTTTAACCACTGCAACACGAGGCTTTTCTATATTGGTGTTTGATAGTCATAGTGCTGTCCTAGAAGCCGTCCTGTGAGTGTGTAACCGCTACAAAAGGCTTGGTTCGACTGCATGGGTGGGGAAATCTTGGGAAAAGGCTGTGCTTCAGGATTCGAGTTAGAATGAGCAGGGGAGCTGGAGAGAGACGGGAGCTGCGGTTTCCCCTAAAGGACGATAAGGCCCTTCACACCTTGGGTTTGGGCTTTCAAGATTGGGGGCTTGGGGACACTCCCTTTAGGTTGTGGATGTCCTGCCTCAGTTGGTAAACACATCTGGAACTTTGTTCTCATTTGTCTTCGAAGAGATCTCTACCTCCTTCTTTATTTCTACAAGCAACTCCTGCTCTGGTGCTACTGGAGAGAACTCGGGATGCACATGGCGCACGGGTTCAATGGCTTTCCTGCAGCCAAAACTGTGTTTACGACCTGGGGTTCAATCTCAGGTAGCCAGCTCAAGGTTGACTCAGCCTTCCATCCTTCCGAGGTCAGTAAAATGAGTACCCAACTCGCTGGGGGGGGGGGGACAATGGGTACCCTGCATAATTAACTTGTAAACCACCCAGATAGTGCTTGAAGTGCTATGGGGTGGTATATAAGCAGCACACTTTTTTTTTTTAGCATCCAGTTTTGCTATTATCATGATTGCTGTTGTTCTGGTATATAAGAGTGTGGAAATGAAGGGTTTGTTGGACGTACACCATTGCCAAGGGAACACCCGACTTTACTGACAATGTTTGTCCACTCTTCGGGGAGGCTCCTTCTATGTCCTCATGCATGCTCTCTCCCTCTCTCTCTCCCACCCCACCACACATACACACAGATTGTTTTGAAAAGGTGCTGTGTCTCCCCTGCCCCCATGGTGCATGGTCAGTTTGGGGCTGTGGCACAGAGCTTGGGGGTCAAAAGTGAGCCAGACATTTATGGAACTCACTGGGCATCTGGTCTAAACATTGACCATGTTTGCTGAGAGTTATTCGGGAGCCATCAGCCTCATCTCCACACCATGTTACTGGCGTGGGAAAGAAACCCGTAGGCTGTGTGGTGTGGATGTTTGTACTGCAGCTCAGAAATATTCAAGTGATCTTATTGCATCTCATGGCAAGAAATCCATACAGAGTTACCAGAGTGTGCTCGTCTGTATATATCCATTTTCAAAAATCCAATTGAATATTCAGTTTGAAGAAGGGTTTTTTTTGTGTGTGCCTGAGAACTCGGCAAAAAGGTGAATCTCAAGCTGTCGACTTTTTGAGCTGCTCTGTGTCCTGCCTCTCTAAAAATGGAGCTCTCTGTTCTCTCCCCCACCCCGTCCTTTTATTGCTTTCGTTCACCCTCCTCAACATTTGCATTGCTCTGTTGAACACAAGCAACCTTGCTCTCCATATTGATTCTCTTGCTCATAGGCCAGGCCTTTGATAACGTGTGCAATGTTGTGGTTTGTGCAACTGCTCCTGCAGAGACTCCATATTTGTTGTCAGTAGCAAATTCACAGGGTATGTGGGGGAGGTGAAGATATTCCATGCAGTAGCACTGAAGTCAACCTTTCTTCCTGCCTTGACTGAATGAATAGCCAAGATTGTCTCCATTCAAGACACAGCATGGCTGTCATTGTTTCACATCCTCTAAAGATTTCTCCCGTTCTCAAAATCAGAGGGAAATCAAGGGGCAGAAATCCCTCTTACTGCAAATAGATTTCTCAATGCAAGATTCCTGGCCCCACTCCCAAGACGTTTTGAGATTTTGCTGGAAATCTCAGGAGATTTCTCAGAAATGTTGTAGTCATTTTTCTTCTGGAAGAAATGGGCAAGCTACACTAGATTGTGGTTGGTTGGTTGGTTGGTTGGTTGGTTGGTTGGTTGGTTGGTTGGTTGGTTGGTTGGTTGGTTGGTTGGTTGGTTGGTTGGTTGGTTGGTTGGTTGGTTGGTTGGTTGGTTGGTTGGTTGGTTGGTTGGTTGGTTGGTTGGTTGGTTGGTTGGTTGGTTGGTTGGTTGGTTGGTTGGTTGGTTGGTTGGTTGGTTGGTTGGTTGGTTGGTTGGTTGGTTGGTTGGTTGGTTGGTTGGTTGGTTGGTTGGTTGGTTGGTGTACCGCCCCATCAGTGGAAGCACTAATCATTAGCATTTCTGGACAGAAATTCCTGTACAGGATTCACTCCGGAAGTACAGAGGAGATGTCAAGCTGTGTAGGATGGTTACAGGACCTGTGCAGAAGTGTATCTTTCCTGTGCAAGATTAGTTGGAAAGGGCAATAAGCTGCACAATGCTTGGAAGGTTCCTGTGCAGAGTAACAGGTGCAAAATAAAATGAATAAAGGAGGCAGTGGAAGGAAGACAGGAGGGCCTGGCATGCTCTGGTCCATGGGGTCACGAAGAGTTGGACACGACTTAACGACTAAACAGCAACAATTTTTGTAAGAAGCCAGAAAATCTCACTGTTGTGGGAGGATAATCTTGTTGGGAATATCTTGACTTGAAAAGAGACTCAGAAAACCACCACAAACAAGAAACCCTACAAATGCCAATGACTTCTAGGGCCTTCCTCAGAATAATCTCATCAAAATAAAATTCCTCAATGGCATTCTAACATTTTTGCTGCTGGTTTTATGCATTCTGTTATTTCAGGACAATAAAAGACTTTGCATAGCTTCCTGAATAGGATGTGACTAAAGTTTTCCATGGTCTGGAGTCAGTTGTCATCTGTAAATGCCCATCAAATTCTAGAGTGGCTTCCCCCAGCCCCCATCACAAGTTCATTGTGACATCACACATTTTCGTCACCCACCAACCCATTTGCTGGCTCCTGATGCAGTTTCGACACGGAAGGCTGTGCTATCAGGCAAGAGCCTTCGATGGCTTGCGGGCCACATCAAATGGCAAGCCTCCTTTAGCCCATGTCTCAGCTCCGAGCAGCCCACGATTCCAGCAATCCTCTAGATGTCCTCTTATGTTTCCTGCAACCTGTGGTGGCAAACTCTAGCTAACTGACCTGGTGCTGTGGCTTCCCTCAATCATGCAATTCGGCTCATGACCAAGCATGGAACCGAGGCACAATAAAAAGGCAGAGACGTTAGCAATATCAGATTGTATGAATATGGCTGTTGGTTGGAAAAAATCATTTCTCTTTTACCTAGAAATATTTGATGCTGTCGTGAATAGGCTCGTAGGCTGATTAAAGCTTTTCAATTAGCAATCTTTTTCAGTCCTTGAGTTAGTTAATTCAGTCATTCAGTTAATTAATTCATTACATTGAATTTTTTTTTAAAAAATGTGTGTGTTGCAAAATCTCGCCAAGAGTACTTTTTCAAAGGAGCAGAAAAGTTTATTAAACCTCTGCAGCTGGTGCTCAGTCTTGCAGGGAAATGATGTATCAACAATGCTCTTAATTGGGTGATTAACGATGTCTTCCTATGGTATGGATAATGGGATGGTTTAGGCATCTGGCTTTGGAACCAGAGGTTGGGAGTTTGATTCCCCACTGGGCCTCTTTGACAGAGGCTGGACCCGATGATCCATAGGGTCCTTTCCAGCTCTGCAGTTCTAAGATGATGATGATGATGATGATGATGATAACCCATGTTGCATAATAGTGGTGCTTCTTGGTCTGAGAGGAAGAGGAACTCTATCATATTTCCTTGTACCTCCAGATGATTAATCCATCGAAGCATTAAACCTGCCTTAGAGTCTGAAACGTGCCTCGCTCTGTAGTGTCATCCTCTCGGCAGCGTGGCCAGGGATCACGGCCAGTGGATCTACTGGATGGAAGATTTGTGTGGGCTGTGGTCCAAAGTGGATTGTCAAGCCTGGATCGTAGCTTCAGTTAGCCATGAAAGTTATGCAAGATGAGCAATAAATTTCTGGCCATTGATTGCAAACTGTAAGTGGCAGGTTCTAAATCTCGAGCGGCCTTCAGTGCTGCCACGCGTACCTGATCCATCCAGCATAGATCAAGAACATGGCCACTGGGTGCATCGGTCCCTGCGATGTGAGTTTGGGAGCTGAGTCCTGGCACCCCAAATAGGATCTGCTCCTGGAAGCCCTTTTTGCTGAAGTGGTTGGTCAAACCTTGAAACTTTAAAAGATGTCTCTTCTCCATTTTGTAGCCATGATTGTGCTGGATTAGCATGCATACGTTTGTGTGTGTGTGTGTGTGTTTGAATTTAATTTCAGCATATTAGTGCAATTTTGGTTATTGGATACAGAGTTGTACAGCTGGGCTTCAGAAAATGCTTTGAATATGGCTCAGAATTGTTCTTGGTGCAGAGAAGGAAGAAGCGAAGTGAGAATAAAACCACCAGCAGCTAAAAACATAATGTGGAAAAACAATCTTCCTTCCTTCCCTGTGTGTGTGTGTTTGAATTTAATTTCAGCATATTAGTGCAATTTTGGTTATTGGATACAGAGTTGTACAGCTGGGCTTCAGAAAATGCTTTGAATATGGCTCAGAATTGTTCTTGGTGCAGAGAAGGAAGAAGCGAAGTGAGAATAAAACCACCAGCAGCTAAAAACATAATGTGGAAAAACAATCTTCCTTCCTTCCCTTCCTTCGATTTCCTTTCTTTCTCCTCCTCTCCTGCCTGGTGCTGATACCTCCAATTCCTTTCTTGCAGGCAAAGCATATGCTCCGGAGTTCTACTACGACACCTACGTTATGGCATTCCTTCCTTCCTTCCTTCGATTTCCCTTCTTTCTCCTCCTCTCCTGCCTGGTGCTGACACCTCCAATTCCTTTCTTGCAGGCAAAGCATATGCTCCGGAGTTCTACTACGACACCTACAATCCGTTATGGCAGAACAGAGCCCGCGTCTATGCTTACAGCCTCGAATGGACCCAAATGAATCCGGATGCCGTGGATCGCATCCTCACGTACCACCTGGGGATCCGGCAGGTGAGACAGATGGCGGGCGTTTGTTTTTGGAGGCGTCGAGGTTACCTCGGTCTCATTTGCTCAGGTCCCATCTTGATGTGCAGATGGGTGTGAATCAGACCGTTCTGCATCGGCCATGCCATTGAGCAGATGGTTTTGCCGGGCCAAAAAAGGTCAATGAAGTTGATTTTTTTCTATGGTGCAGGTCAAGGAAGGGAGATTTAAGAGGCTTTTCTTGCTTAGGCTGTCTGAGGCCCAGCAGATGCGTGAGGGTAGAGATATATCCCATGAGTCTAAGTTTTCGAAGGGAGATTTAAGAGGCTTTTCTTGCTTTGGCTGTCTGAGGTGCAGCAGATGCGTGAGTGTAGAGATATATCCCATGTCTGAGTTTTCTGTTGGTTGAGAATGCTCAGGAAGGAGACCTCTGGGACACAGAAGTTCATTTATGAAGCCCATTGCATTTTGAATGTAAAGCTGTATATTTTCCCAGTCTTGGATTTTTGAGGCTCAAGTTGATTGTGCTAGACCTTAGTGAATTCACTCTCGTTTTCGGACTACGACTATCTTGATTGTGAGATGCTGGGAGTTACAGTCCAAAGATATCTGAAATATTTGGGGGCTCGTCAGAAGTGTTTCCGTGCATCCTACAAGCTTCCTCGGATCTTTCCTTGCACCTGAGGCCTTGCTGTTGTTGTTTTTCGGTTCTAGATGCTAAGCAGTAGCTTTTACTGTGAATACCAATCGATGCATTTTATTCAGATCCTTCCAAGTGAAGGCATGTAAAGACATCTTTGAGAGAATCTGGGGATCATATTAAATCAGTTGGGAAAGAACAGCCTTGTTGCCAGGGAGGAGGTGGGAGTCTTCCGCTCAAGAATCAGAACCGGAACCCAGATTTCTCTAGATCAGAAGCCGGAATGCAATTCAGATCCAAAGGCTTCTGGATGAGTAAAAACCTCTTAACCTCCTTGTGAGTGGGTCGAGAGGAATCATGGAAGCAGAAGCCACTAGGGAATTGGGGCAGAGAAAAAAGAGGAATCTCCCTGCCCTTTGTCCAAATCTGCCGTTTCCCCTTATTCAAGATATTGCTTCAGTCAAAGGTCTTTGGACAAGATCTAAGGGCCTCATACAAGGTGGCGTGAGGGGTGTAAGATAAGCTTAGCAGTCCAGGTGCAGTTTCTTAAACCCTAATGCATGCGCGAGTAACTAGAAGCAACATGAGTAGAAAGAAGAAGTCTACTGCTCCGCATGAGGTCACAGTGTAGGGATTTCATGCGTCAGCTCAGTGCTGTGTTGATTATCCTGCCAGCTTATTGGCGACTATGGGGTGTAAACGGCGTCCATTACTCGGTGGAGTGTTTGGGCGAGTCACGATTTCACAGGATGAGACTGTTGTGATGCTGCCTGAGAGTGCCGACCCGGGGACCGTAGTGCCTGACGATGCAAAGAACATACTTTGGCTCTGGAAAACCTGGAGCCGTTGGGAGAGTCTTCCAAGGTAAATGAAGTGGAAGTTGTTGAGAAGAGACAGAATGACCCAGAACCCTCAGGGGTGTCGCCACCTGAAGAGGCAGCCAGGGTCCTCCTGTTCAGGAGAAAGGCTTAGCTGGAGTGAAGGTTTACCGACCAGTCGATTGTTCTTCATGGGTATGACCTTCTCGTGAGAGGCATCTCAAATATGGGTGGAGTTCTGGTGGCTTCTTTTAGAGGCCAGGCTAGAGAAGCTGTTCAGAGGTGCCTCTACACCATCCTTGGACCCACAGCTACCTAGTTCTCGCTTAGAGCAGTGGTTCCTAACCTTGGGTGACCCAGATGTTCTTGGACCACAATCCTCATAAGCTCCTGCCAGCGCAGCTGGTGGTGAAGTCTTCTGGAGCTGCAGTCCAAGAACACCTGGCCGACCCATGGTTGGGAACCACTGCCTGCACATGAAAATGGTCTGCCTTTCTCCAATGTCTCCCTGTTCACTTCCACTTTTGCTGACCCTCAGCTTGGACCACCTTGACCTCAGCATGTGTTTGCTCCTTAGCTGCACGGGACCCCAGGCAAGCTTTAGGCTTTGCTTCCTCCATGCAGCTCACTGCGTCAAACCCTTTCCTATTCCACAAGCCGGGCAAAACCCAAAGGCGAAGTGAACAAATTACGGGCAGCTTCAAAACTGGCGAACATAACTTGACAAGCAGAAGATCAAAAGACATTTTGCAGAACGTTAATGATCTAGTCCTTGAATTCCCATTTGTTCCTGCTAAGACGTTAAAGCCGACTGCCCATTTGAGCCTGCCTTGCCCACATCGGTCCCAGGCAGTAAATGCATTGTGTTCCATCTCAAGGAGTTATACGGGCCCTTTGATTTTCTTTTTTTTCCTTTTGTTCATCATTAAGAACTCGTGAGTGACACCTATGAATCGAGTTTCCTACAACAAGGCAATATGGCGGGGGGCGTGCTAGACACGAGCCGGAGCTTCTGTTTCAAAAAGAGGCCCCTGGGCAAAGCATACGAGGCATTATCAAAGAGCGCTCCGAAAGAGAAGTTGCTTTTTGAATACGGTTGACGTCTCTGTGATGGGGAAAGTTGGCTCTTGCAGTGAGCCTGCATTTCGAGCCTGAGTGACGGGACGTGGGTTCCTAGAGGCGCACCTCCGTCACATGCATCTGGCTGCTAACGACAGCTGTTTTCATGCTGAAGTGGAGCTGGTTCGAGACGAGAAGCCAATGTGACATCGTTGGGCCCCAGCCTGCACTTCAGAAATGCACCAGCTGACTTGGCATAAAGGGAACCCGTAGCTGTGGGTCTGAGTGGCCACATTATGGATGCATGATGACTAAGGGAGCTGGGAGTGTGAGGAACATCGAATGTTATTAATTTGGTCATTGATTAACAAATCAGTTGTCTTTATCCCTGAAAATATTCAAGGCTGCCATGAGTAGGCTCGTAAGCTGATTACAGCTTTTCAATTAGCTGCCTTTTCAGTTCTTTAACCAGTTAATTAATTCATTGCATTGAAATAAACAAATGTGTGTTTTGCAAAAATCTCACTGAGAGTACTTTTCCAAAAGGAAAGGAAAGTTTATTTAACCTCTGCAGCTGGTGCTCAATCTTGCAGGGAAATTACAACTTCAGCAATGTCGTAAATTGGATGATCGACAATGTCTTTTCTGAGTTTAGATAGCTCAGTGGTTTAAATCTCCAGCTGCAGAGCCAGAAGTTGGGAGTTTGATTCCTCACTGGGTCTCCTTGACAGGGTTCGTAGGGTCTCTTCCTGCTCTGTGGTTCTAAGATGATGATGATGATGATGAGGAGGAGGAGGAGGAGATCCCCTGTTGCAAAAGAGTGGTACATCTTGATCTGGGAGGAATGGCAGCTTTTTCAAGAGATTCAAATGACATATTTCCTTATACCTCCAGATGATTAATCCATCACAGCATTAAACCCACCTTAAAGTTTGAAATGTGCCTTGTTCTGTAGCGTAATCCTCTAGGAAGTGTGGCCAGTGACCGTGGCCAGCAGACCTGTTGGCTGGGAGATTTCTGTGGGCTGTGGTCCAGAGAGGTGTCTCTTCTATGTGAAAGTGTCAGATGAGAATTTAAGAGGTCTGGATTCAAATCCCTGGCTGGCTGCAGGAATTCGCTCAAGGGCAGCACTGGTGGACCAATTCCTTGACTATCTCACCTACCGGGATCACCACCATCAGTGAGAAGCAGATTGACAGCACATAAAAACACAACAGTTATTACAAAACATAGAATCGTGGGGTTGGAAGGGGCCCATAAGGCTGTTGCGTCCAACCTGGAGCTCACTGCAGGAATCCAAATAAACGCAAATCAGACAGACGGTTGTCCAGTTAATAGGATTTGCTTCCCGCATGTCGAAATCGTGTGCTTTTGTCCTCCTTTTAATGGGCAACATGCCAGCCACTTGGTGCAGCAGGGGGGCGAAAGGACCGGTGCCTGGATCACCCAATGCAGAGCACCGTGAGTTGGGGAGAAGCCATAGCTTAAGCAAGAGATCACACCTGTTTTGCACACACACAGCATCCAAGGGCCGTTCCTTGACATCACCTGCAACAAGAGTTCTCAGATGGTGTTGCTGGGAACACTTTTCTCTGCCCGAGGGCTCTGGAGATCTGGGGCCAAGCCGAGCAGAGAATATTGATGGACTCATGTGTTTGGCTGGTTTAAGAGACTGCCCTGTGTCCTTAACAATGGTACCTCCCATAACCCCATGGAAGCAGGCAGGGAGGCATCCAGCTCTCGATGCTCTGTTTGGCATGCCAGCCCAAATCAGGAGCAGAGGTGGGCCTACTGGGACTTTTCAGGCCAGTCTCATCAGAGCCACGTATTCCTTTGCAGGAAAGCGGAATGCCAGCGCCTTGGCCCAGCTCATTGGGAAGGCTGAACCAATCCCCTAACTACCTTGTGGATTCTGCAAGTCGTCTTTTGAGTAAAATTGTGTGTCTTGCAACCCAGAGGGAGACAAAAACCAAGAACAACACACACACAAGCTCTGTGCAGCTGTTTGCCTGAACCGGGGCGGTGCTGTGGGCACACGCATGAAACCCGTGCCCTGGAATCACACCCTGCACCATCCCAGACCTTCCCGTGTGCCAAGGCGCTTCTTCTTGCAGGGGTCTGGATAGCAAGGTTGATCCTTGCTTGTCTTGTTCTCAAGCATGAGACAAAGAAACCTCGGGGCTATCCATCGCTGATTCCTAGATGGCCTATTGAGGAAGCCCATCTCGGTGAAGAAAGAAATTCATCCGTTTCAGAGAAAGTATCATCATCATCATCATCTTAGATTTGCAAAACTAAAAGGCTTTTCAGAGCTCTAGTTCCTGCTGAGCACACAAAGATCTGGGGCATAGCAGCTGTTCAGGGGCAGCGTTTATATGCTCCTGGTTTAGGCCCACAGCATGAGTGCTGATCTCTGTTGCTGGTTTCAAATCTTGGCCTTTCTTCATTGCCGTGAGATCTCCTGGAACCAAGGGGATCATCCGGTGGCTTTCCTCCATTGACATCGGCTA